CCATTTGTGTACCCCACCTTGCCGCTCGGGTTGGTCTTCGTGAAGGCAACCCACCTCTTCGGCGGACAGTGGCTGAGGCGGACGCGCTGGCAGCTCCTCGGCCACCATGCCGTTGCCCTACCGCAGCGCCCAGGCCGTCAAGATCCAAGGGGGTACGGTGCCGGTCAAGCCGGATAAGCAGGCTCTGCTGGACGGCGTAAAGGCAGCGTATACGCAGGCCAAGCAGAACGCGGATGCCGCCGCGGCGGCGGCCGAGGATGTTGCCAACGCGATGAAGCAGTTGGAGGATGACGAGGAGCTCGCGCTATTAAGAACCGACAACAAAGCCGCGATCAAAGCCTTGACGGCCGAGGAAGCAAAGAACGCACTGAACATGCTGCACCCGGACACTCTGGACACCGCGGCGGCGCCGATGGGTAACCTCAAGGTCATGCCGACGGACATCCTGCCGTTGGCGTTGTGCGACCAGGACTGGGTGAACGAGATGAAGAACGTAACCATGGCGGACGGCCGGCCGTATCTCACCATCTACCAGCACGATCAGCTGGTGTGCACTCGGAGCACCTCGAGTGCGGTCTGCTCCCTCCACCGCGCCACAGACCGGGCCTGCCGCTGTCGAATAGGTGCCCTTCTGCATGTGGTGGACCATCTCGCGCTTCCCCGAGTTCCAGGGCCAGCTTGCGGCGAGCGAGATGCCGTGGAAGGTCCCGTGCCATACGCTTCGCCCCCCCACCCCTCGTGTGTGGTGTGGAGAACCTGACGTTGCCTCGCCTTAGGCCGTCCCGGACGATGACGGCCACGTCCTCGGCCGGCCCTTCGCTCCCCAGCCCATGCTCGCCTCGCCGTTCCAGAACTTCCCCCTCGTGATGCCTTGGATGGGCTGTCGCTGCGCGTGGCCCGTCTCTCAACTTGGGTACTACTCCATTTGCTGGGCGCGCGCGCGAGAGAGAGAGAGAGGAAGCGCGCGACGGGAATCTCCACAATACGCTGTGATCTGCACCTCTTGTGTGACAACTCACTGGTGTGAGCGCCCCCCCCCACACACACACACATCCCGAGTTGAGACGTACCGCACACACCGTGACACCGTGCAGTCTCATACGACTCTTGCAGTCTCATGCGACTCAAGCCACTCGATCTCACCCCACCCCGCTCTCGCCCGGTGACGCCTTCCACGGGGCTTGCGCTTTTAATGCCGTGGGACTCCTTCTAGACGTGGAGTCGCGAGGGTCGCCCCCCCCCCAAGGTGTATGTGTGGAGAAGCTCCTTTTCTTTCCTTACCTTCACAGGCGTGCGGTCTGAGCAAGTGGGTCGCGCTGGCGGTCGAGATCATCATCACCTGTATGGAGCTGCTCTACCTCGACACGCTCCTCCTCCTAGAAGCGGAACACGGAGTCTTGTATTCCAACGAGCGCTCGAGAGGACACGTATCCGGATGCCCCCCGACATCTCATAGAGCCGCGCTCGCCTCTGGAGAGCCGCGCTCGCTGCGACACCTCATACCTCAAACCGGATGTATTCAGCTGCTCTCACTGTCTTCGTATATCCCTCGTGTTCACACGGTGCTCTGAGTACTCTGCACGAGGCCGTCTTCCCGCCCTGAGGTCGGTGTGCGTATCCACCGCGAAGGCTCCTCATGCAGCGCTTCTACCAGTACGCGCCCAACTCGCGCTCCTGGGACTACATTGCCAAGCAGCGCTCGCCCCTCACCATCCGCGTCACTGAGGCGAGAGGGGTGGGGGGGCGAGTTCAGGGGGGGGGGGGGGGGAAGCACATTGACCTCAGTGGGTCTCTCCTTCCCAGGTGGTGATTGACTTCATCTTCATGCCCCTATTCATTGGTGAGCGTCCTCCCTCTGCTCTTGCACTCTGCTTCCGCTGTCTCCGCGTCCCGTGTGCTCTTACTCCAACGTACCCCCGACCCGCCAGGACTTCTCGCGTTCGGTTCCGACTCCAGCAAGAACCTCAACTACTTCGAGACGAAGACGATGTACCGCATCCTGCTGCGCTCTCTATCGACAAAGGAGGCGGGGCAGACCTTTGCCTACTGCACCCTCGTCACGTGGTCTGTGCTCACCGAAATCGGGTCTGTGATCTTCCCGGTGAGCGTATATAGAGGACGGGCCGTGGGCGGATCCGGCCTGCGCACTCTGGCCCACTCGCCCGGTTGCGCACTGCAGGCGTACATCACCTTTATGGCGCCGGTGATCTTCCACGTCGTCTACTCGGGCGAGGTACTCACCGACATGGCCAGCTTCATCCTCCTCTTTAATACCATCTTCGACTTCGAGCAAAAGGCGTGTACCTCCCCGCTCCCCGCTCCCCGCCTCCCCGCCTCCCCGCGCCTCCCCCGCCTCTCCGCCATCCCGACAAGCGCGCCACGCGTCCATACTTGCAATACTGCACTACGCCCGTCCTACAAGCTACACACGCGCACACGCACACCGCTCACCCACGCGCACCGGGGGCCGTGCACTTT